ATAATGTGAAAAATAAAAACAAATGTATTATTGAAATATATGTAAATAGGAAATATTATAATATTTAACAGAAAAACAGATTTGTTATTTAAAAGCAAAAATAAAAACATCTTTGTAACGGAATTGTATTGCATATTCTTAGGTAAATTCAAATCGTGGATTGTTGCAAAAGTCATTTCTGTACGGCACAGAACTTTCGTTTTTTTCATGAGAAAATGTTGCTGTCTTCAACATTTATTATTATTCTTTAAAAAAATATGGAATGGAATCTCTGCTTTCATTTTTATTTTAAAAACGAAACTATAGAATACTTTTTTTTGTTCTATTCAGCGTTTATTTGTTTCAAACTGTAAAACGTGTACAGATTATATAAAATAACGTAATTATGTAATGATTATAGACTTATGAATGTGTAATATGGATCGAACAATTCCGGAAATGATAATCAAGTAGGTCTCCCATGTTAATAACAGAAATTACTGAACCGCTTATAGAATTAAGCTTCTTACATAACGCGGATCCACCAAGGGCTTACTAGCAATTTGCCTTTCACGTGCGTTTATTGTTCGATACTGATAATAATAATGATTATGTTAATGGCAAAAAGGAAAGGAAATGTTACATCATATGGGAATATTAAAAAAATATTATTAATAATAAACATCTATAAATAATTGTATGACATCTTCATTTATTTTTTTACATGAGTGGAATAAATTTTATTTGAAAACATGCAGTAAATTTAATGTTTTTTTCTAAATACAAAATCAGTGTTTTTTTAGTGTCTATAAATAACGTTTACCTTGTCAATTATCATAACTTGTTTCAAGTTTGATTCCAATTCGGTTGAAGTATTTACAAATCTTCGTCGAAGATTGACGTTTACGGTATTTATTGTAAAGTATTTTAAACAAATATGGTAGGAAAGCTACACTTGTAGTATGTTATGCAATGATGCTTCTTCTATTTAGGAATGAGAAACATTCCTTTTCATTCATCGCTCTATTATTACTCTTACCACTTCTTATATTCTCATTGTAAATAACTTAAGTTTTAATTAAAAATAAACAATTTTTTACATTTAACTTTGCAAAATTAGTATTTATAATAAGGAAGTACAGTGTTTAAAAATAATTACTATGCTTAATATTGTTAACTTGAAATGTATATTCTATATTTATTAGGAAGCTTGCGGTTTAGAAAAGCGTTAATGTAGCAAAATCGTCTCCATTCTACATAAATTCCAGTCAATAATTAAATTTTAGTTAAAAATAAACTATTTCCTACATATAATACAGTAAAATTAATATTTTCAAAAAGCAAAAAAAAATATTTTTTATATTTACTTATTAAAAAGATTTCTATATAACACATCGTCTTCATTGTAGATAAATTCCTTTCCATCCCTAAATTTGAGTAAAAACTAAAGTATTTTCTACATATAATATTTGAAAAAGCAATACTGTAACACGACGGGTGCTTCGCGTACGAAAAGACAAAATATACAAAATCTTCAAAGCCGGCTGGGCGTGAGTCCCGACATGGGAAGATTCAGAATTGATAAAGTTTTCTTTTTAAAAAATTGTTTCTAAATAAATTTCATTTCATTTACTTATATTATATTACTTATATTACATTATATAAATGAAAACATTTTAGAAATAATCAAGTTATTTGATTAGATTTCTTTCATAGCACGTTTTCACATATTTATTTTCAATTTTATGTCAAATATTTACTCACTTACATACGCCTTCCTGATAATAAAATATGTTTACATGTGCAATCTTAGTTCTATAATTATCTAGTTATTCATTTATAATAATTTTATTGGTTTGTTCTCAATGTGATTATAAAAAAAAATCATTTTGATAGAACTTTATATTATTTGTTCTTTGTATTATTTTATTTATAAAGTAAATTATTGCCAAAAACATTTAAGTATTCTTAATTAAAATATCCGTATTTTATGATTTTTTAATGAATTAATAAACAACATTTGTTGTTTTTTTTATCATATACTTAATTTTATGGAAAGTAGAAGACATATTTAGTATAATTCTCATAGAAAAAATGAGTTCTCAATTTACAAAATAAATAACAAAAGAAAAGAAAGATATATTGGAACTAATTAATTCTGAATTTTTACTTTATTTTCTTCTTAAAGTAACTTAATTTAATTAAATTAAATAATTAATATTTAATAATAATAATATTTGCTACTAAATAAGAAGAATTATATTAATAAAATTAATAAAAAAAACTACATTTGCAATTTATCTATTTTTTTTTTTAATATTTATTATATTTCGTTTTTACACAAAAAAGTTATTGAAAATATTTAATTCTCATTTGACTATTTTACTAATATTTAATAATGAAGATGTTCACATCAATGAATTGTATGTAGAAGGACAATTGAATCGTGAAATTGAATACAAAACAAAATCACGTCTTCCACTTTTTCCCACTTAAATTTTAGAAAGTGCCAAAAAAATAATAAATAATAGAGAGGCAACAAACATAAACAGTGCGATGGGAACATCGTTTTTTTTTTTGGAAGACGAAAATACTGAAACAATGATGGGGAGCATCGTGTTCTTGAACTATGATGCATTCAGTGTATTATTAGATGTTCGTAACAAAGTAAAAAAAAGACACACACAAAAAAAACACGTTTGGCATTTAATTACATTAATCATAGACCTTTTTTGTCCAATCCATGATAGATCTTTGCAAACAAATCATTTGTCGGTCTTTTCTTCTCTTCTTTTTAATCCTCCGATGCAATTACTCAATCCGTGCAAATCTTCTTTCTAAATGCAAATGTCTCTTATGCGCTTAATTTATTTATAATAATTACATCATCTTCGATAATTTATATATGTATTATGTTGTAATGGAAATATTTATTGTTTGCAAAGATTTTTTTTTCAATAGACAAAACGAAGTGTAATAAATTGAAATTATCGCTAATTACAGTAGCTATTATTCAATCAATAATAAATAAAAAAAATTGAAAAACGTATTAAATATTACGCAATTTTATTTAATTCTCGACTATCCTTCAAGTTTATAGAAGAAATATGTCATTATTTTCAATCTTTTTTTTTACTTATTAATAAAATTACATGATTTTTTATATAATGAAATTATATAACTAATAATTAATTGAATACTGTAAAATTTGTATTAGAATTACAAAAATTTAAAGCTAGATTAATTAACTTGGAAAATACATACAAAATATTCCTGCATGGAAACTAAATAAAATTATTTATGGAAGTAAAACAGTTTCTGAACTATATGAATATTTCTTGAAAAATAATTAACAAATTAATTTGATTTTAACTGTATGATTTAGGTTTCTTTTATTGAATACATTTGACCCTTTTCAGCCTTGTGATTCCAAATTGACTAATGTGAATTGAAGTAAGATTTATTTTTAACATTAGGAAATGTTGAATAATGAAAAAAAATAGCTAACATATTTTTTTAAGATTAAAGAAGTGCTATTATGAAGATTTGAATAAAACAAAAATAAAATTTTTGAAAAAAAAAAAGCGCTGGAAAGGGTTAAAGTAGAAAAATAAAAACATGATTTAATGAATTTTCTTCAAATTACAATAAAATATGTACTTAAATATTTTCGAGTAATTTTATTCATATTAATAACTTACTATAAAATTATAAATTTTATGAAATATACATAGACTGGGTTGGAAAATTTTAAAAGAGAATAAAATTTTAATTTAGAAAAATACAAAGAAATTCTAAAAATATATTTTTTTATACTTTAATTGCGTTTTTTTTTTTTCAGATTTGTATTTGAATGTGTTTACTTTCTTGAATAGTCCGGTTTCAAACAGTCCGGATTATAGGCGGAACCGATATTTTGCGAGGTCCTATACCTTAAAGGTACAAAATACTTTTTTTTATAAAAAAAATAAAATCGTTATGATGATAATAACCCGTATTTTACCTAGAGTATAAGAAACACAATAATAGAAAGATTTACCAATGACATTGCAATCCTTTCGTTTCGTGCAAAGCCCATATGCAACAAAAACCTTGATTTAATCTTAATGGAATTAATAAAGGAAACCATCGAAAGAAACAGTTGCAAATTCTTAGATTTACATCAAAGTAAGACAATTTTATTAGCATTTAATCTGTGTTAAAACAAATATTTCAATGTACAGTTTCATTTCATTAACATTTTACATTACTATTATTTAATTAAAGACATTTTACTACAATTATTTGTTTTTTTTTTAATTTATATTAAAATTATTTATATTTTCAGAATTGAAGAGAATAAATTTTCTTATTTTATTTTTTTTATTTAATTTTTTATATAATTATTACAATATTATTTAGCTTATTTATATATACCTCTACTAAACCGGACTAATCGAAGAACTAACTACAAGAAAAGAAAACCTATTATTTATGTACAAAAAAAAAGATTTTGTGTACTAATTATAAAGCATTTTTCCTTCAAACCGTACTATACACATACCACTCATTTTATACGGTACTTTTTGTAAACGTTTTCGCTTTTATATGGTATAAAAAAGAAATGTTCAAAATAACCTATTCGTGGTTTTACACGTTTCAGCTTTTACACGGTAAATAAATAAACTGGATATGTTCAAAAGGAACAATTGTTTTGCCTATCAATATTTTTGTTTGATTAATGTACCATAAAAAAATGAAAAAAATCATGATCAATAAACAACGTAACTATGTTTTTTTTATGCACGGTTTCACATTCAAAAAGTTACAAAATCGAATTACACGTTTTTCTCAGAAACCTATCTACCATGTAAATCAGAGGATTGGTGTATATGAGTTATTTCTTTCTGTTTTTATAATTACTTCTGTTATTGGATAACTATTTCAATAAATAAACACTTTTTTGTTATAAATGTAAGTTAGATTTATTTGCAATTAAGGTTGTTAATTTTCGTAAAGAGAAAAAAAGAAGAAATAATCACACGTTCTGGTTAATAAACAAACACAAAAAAAATGTACGAGATGCATTGCGACACGGCAATTTTTGAGCAATTAAAATTATTTTAGTGTGAATTAAATTTACGCTTTGCGCAACGCCTGAAGACCGGTTGCTCGAAGAACTTTATGTCTTCTGCATAAAATATATCCAAATAAAAAACGTAAATATCAAATGTATTCATGAAAACCGCGAGATTTGTGCCATAAACCGTTGCGACACGACAACTACAAAACAAATAACAACAAAAATAAGAGAGATATACATATATACGCATATTAATTGCTATGGGAAATCTCGTGTTGTATAATAATAATAATCCGGCAATAACCAAGTCGAGGAGAAATTTGCGCAAGAAATCAACAACTACCGTCGCCTTATTGTTATTATGATATCGTATGCTCGGATTTTCCTTCGCGCCGTCGCTTTCCTCTCCATTTCATTCATTTCATTCACGCTTCGATTGTATTAAAAAGGATTTTCAAAAATTTCGTCCATTGTTGTGCAAAAATCTCCACACTTGGCCGAAATGGAAATGGAAGTGATGCAATGCGGACGGCGGCAGGTGAAAAGGTGTGTGTGTAATAATGATCCTCTGCTCTACAATTGCGATTGACTCTAAGAAAGTTCGTAAAATCCGAAACTGATATGATCCAATTGTGATAGTAAAAATGTATACTCAATCGTTTTAAAGAAACTAAATAAATATGTAAGCCATGTATTATATAATAATTATAGATGCAAGAGACGATTCGAGAATGCTTTTCGTTCGACCACTTTCTTGATACAAAAACCTTGATTTGAATATAACTTTAATATAATATTAATAATTTCTTTCAATTCGATAGAAAGATATGATCAGTTCAACTTCCAAATTTATCTCCACACGTATTTGTATTAAATTTTATTGTTATTAATACAGAAAAACCTATTTTTATGCGGTAGATTTTCATAAATTCTTACATATAAAAAATAACTTTGTACAATAAGAGATTTTTTTTAAAACATTTAATTTCTCATATTATATATGGAGAAATTTTCAAATTGCACATGCAAAATTCACTGCTACTTGTGATAATCCAATATGCGCATCTTCTTGTGATTAATTAGTTCGAAATCGACTAACAGAATCGTTTGAGCAGGCTGCACATATGCACACTTATAGAAAACATTACGCCGTTGGAATTGGTTGGATTTCATATACCACATAAAAAAAATCGCATAAAAAAGACCGCACAAAAACAGGTTTAACTGTAAATTATTTAGAATTTCAAAAATTTAAAGAGACATGTAAATATGAAAATTGATTAATTTACCAGGAAAATTGCATGCATGCATTTACCTTTTCCCTTTAGTAAAACTGTTACTGAAAAACATGATTAGACCAGATAAATAAATGATTCATAATTAATTAAATATCAATAATGACGTTTTAAGATTTAGTACATTAATCAAAATAATATGTGCAGACGACCAAACCTTTTATTTGTAGACTTCATAATTTATTTATATAGAATTTTTGAACTATTTTTAAATAAGTTATTAGCATTGAAAGTAACCAAGAATAGAAGCTATTTCACTAAATTAGCTAATTTATTAACATCCAAGTTGAAAAATACTGTAATTGAAAATTATATAATAGATAGAATTTTTATCGTAATTCAATAAAAATTCTAAATATTGCAGCGACAGAAATCTACATCAAATTGGCGATTTTTCTAACAAATCGTTAGTACAACAATATCTTGCATAAGCGGTTTCGATTAGTCCTGATTCACTATAGTTCGGTTTAAAAAAATCAAAACAAACTAAATTTAAATTAAGCAAAATTATCGTTTTTCTCACAGTTAAGTTTATTTTTCTGCAATTTGTTTTTATGCTGCTTTAAAGTGCTCGATTAGTCCGGTTTTAAACAGCAATCGATCCGCACTATGTGAATTATTGTATTAATTTTGAAAGAATAAATTAAAAAAATGTATCTCGACATATACGCTAAGAGCTCAAAATGTATTGTTATTAAATAATGAAGAATTGAGATCTTTAAGTAAAAGTTGAATTACTGTAAATATTTAAGGAAAACCTATATAGACTTAAACAATTCGAGTAAAATTACCTAAGAAATAATATAAATTTCTTAATTATATTCAATATATTATAATGTATTTATTTATAGTAAATTGGAAATTTCATATTTTATTTATCAGGAATTTCATTTTTTCTAAAATCCTTCTACAGTAAGAAAGTACAGTTTTTTTTCTATCTTAAGTTTAAATTACAATATATTATCTATATAAATATAGATAATAAATCATAATCTAAACATTAGCAAAAAAAAGGAATGTATAAAAGATGAAACGGTTATGGCGTGAAAGTGTCCATGGATCATCAGAATCGTGCATTATGTGCATAAATAAATATGAAGAGCGTTGGTTTGTAGAGAGGTCTTTTCAATTGTTTTGTTACTGAAACCGGAGGCATCTGCCGAATGGTCATGTGTATATTGATTTATTGTCACTTTCGCTTCACGTGCATTAATTTTTGCGACATGTGAAACTCGCCGATCTTTATTTGCGTCCATTGAAAGAAAAGAAAAAGAAAAGAAAAAAATAATATAATAACGCTGAGATTTGCATACAAACGAAAATTACGCGGATAGCGAATAATTTAATAACTAAAGACGTATAGGTGTCAGCTAGTTTGAATATTGTAATTAATCTTAATTTGCATTCGTAGACGGACAAAAAAAATATAATTAACTCTTTTTTTGCCTATTTGTAACGCACTTTCACGTCACGCATCACGAATATCTCAATAGTTTGTTAGAAGGTTTTTTCCACAATTTACAATCGACTTTAAAAAAAAAATATTGAGTGCAGCAATACCTCAGCAATTTGGAATTTTTAAACCAAATTATAGTGATGTCTACATTGAAAAGTATTTGTAAGTATTTTGTTTATTTTAATTTATTTTTTTCAAATTTATGCAGTCAGTAATACGGAATTTAACATATATAAAAGTATAAACCATGATAAAGATATGTATATTTAGATTTTTTTTAATTCTCCCGACTTACGAACAAATTCTACTTACGAACAATCCTTTGGGACGGAACTAATTCGTAAGTCGGAGGATACTTGCATTGGCTAAACCCGCACTATGAGAGGTATATCTTTTGTATATCTTTTTCGAAAACTGAATTATAATATTACACTTAAATTATACATAAAAAATACAAACAGTTTAGCTTCTGCTTATTAATTCATTTGCATCTATTAGAATATTTAAATAATAATAATCTTAATTATAAAATCAATAATTAAAGAATAATTTTAGAAAGTTTAGATATTCAATGATAATATACAATTTCTCAATATATTATGAAGTAAAATTGGAGTGAATCAAATAAAATGAAAAAAAAAGTGCTTTTACTACGGATTTCGATAAAATAGAAAAAAAAGTTAGGATTAAAAAAAAAACATATGTTAAGTAAGACTATAAAAAATATTAACCTAAAATAAAAAACTTCTATAACTTACAATTATTTTTATAAATTTACACCATAATAAGTGCAACACATCGTAATAAATTTATAACTATTTCAACTATAAATTAACTAATTGTCAATTTCAATTTTCATGATATTTCAATTAAAAAAAAGAATTTTAGAAAGTTTAGATATTCAATGATAATATACAATTTCACAATATATTATGAAGGAAAATTGGAGTGATCAAATAAAATGAAAAAAAAAGTACTTTTACTACGGATGTCGATAATTATAATAGAAAAAAGATTAGGATTAAAAAAAAGATATATTAAGTAAGACTATAAAAAATATTAACCTAAAATGAACAACTTCTATAACTTCTGACAATTATTTTTATAAATTCACACCATAACATCTGCAACAAAGCATAATAAATTTATAACTATTTGAACTATAAATTAACTAATTGTCAATTTCAATTCAATTTTCATGATATTTCAATTAAAATTGATTGTAATTAATATTTCAAGCACGAAATAATTTATTTAATATTTTATTATTAATATTAAGGTCACCAATTTTTTTACAATGAAAAGTTGAACAAAAAGGGGAAATTAATGAATAAATGAAACATTTTATAAATTCAAATAAAAATACACTGATTATGCTTACATCCCTTTTAATTATTTAATTAAACGAGTATTTTTTCATTGAATGAATATTTTTGTATCTTTGTATTGGAAATTTCGGAGCAAGAAAGATCCTTCATATTGAATTTTAGTTAGAGTATGAACATTCAACCTTGATTTCTCACTTGTCCAAAAATCATTACCAATTGAAAAAAACTCTTTCAATTGCTACATTAGTTCGAGTGCAACACAAGGTAAATGCAAAGAGAATAACTAAATTTTCATATGGAATGTGTTCATTTTTGAAATGGTTAAATATGTCCACCCATCTTTTATCAATTTCAACATGTTGATGTCCCATTGTTCTAATTTATCAGAATTTAAATATACATTCAGTTTTCTAATTTTTTCAAACAGACAATTTTCATCGATTTTAATATCGTCGATAAAATATCGAAAAGAAAGACACTTTTCGAGAACGGACAGAACCTACAAGTAACTAATTAGATTTTTTCATGTTATTAATAATTTGTATTAAAATTTTCTAAAATTTTAAAACACAATTGATTTTAATTAATATTTTGATTAATAAATAGAACAAAGAAATATTTTATTATTAATATCGTAATGAAATATGTTAAGGCCTCATTAAGGCAACGACGAATAAATTTGAATTGAGTAATTTAAATCCGGCTTATGGAAATGGGATCGCGTGACAATCGGATGGAAAATAAATTTCTAATATCAATTTTCAAGAGTGCTGCACGACATCGATTAACGTAATCAAATAGGAAATTGCTCCCATGCAGCATTTTATATCAGCGACATTTTCTGCATACCAGAGAAAACAGTGAATTTATCGAATCCACTTTACATTCAACTCAACGCACACAAATAAATTACTTATATTCATTTACTTTATATTTACAAAATGATGAAAAGTAGAAAATATTACATCATCGACATTATTTAGAAAATTCTTAATTAATACGTGAATTAAACAAAAATAATTAACATCTCTTTATATTAAAATAAGATTAATAAATTATGTAGATTAATTTATATAAATTTCCTAAAAACTAAATTATTATTTCAATAATCAAAATTAAAAAATTAGGATAATTATTAAAAAAATATGATTATTTTTTGTGTGTAAAATAAACAAAGTAACTGAAATAATTTAATTTAATCAAGTTTTATTAGAAACTTGAGATTTATATATTTATCTCATTTTTTTTAATTTAAAGCAAATATTTCATCCACAAAATTATTAATTACAGAATATACAATTATTTTGCAGATTTTGTGTCAGTACTTAACATTTTATTTTATTAAAATGTAATAAAAATAATCAGTAATATTTTTGTACAATATTTAATGGTCCTTTTTGTCCTAATCAGTAATAAATTTGATTATACAATTATTTTAGTTAATAATTAATTTTACTGTTTTAATATTTAACATTTTATAATAATCTATATACAAATTTGATTATAGCATTTTTTTTGTTAATTATTTTTTAAGCCAAAAATCAATTTGATAAAATAATAAATTAATGAAACATTTTAAATATCCAATATAAAAATATTATAGAATAATTATAGAAAAAAAATCGTTGACTAATATAAAATATTAGTTAAAATTTCTAATATAGAGTATGGATTTTTCATTTATAAAAATTATGTTTCAATGTAATAAAACTCACCTGTTTTTAAAAAAATCCAAAAAATAGATTTTATGGCAAAAATCGCTCACAGAATTTGCTATTCGATGATAGCGGTCACACGCGAATCCAGCTTCAGCCAGAGTAGCTAAGAAATAGGTAAGAAATGTGTTAAAAATCTCTCAATTCGGTAGCTCTTCGCGGTTCGGTTTTACCAAAGAGAAGTCTTGCGCTTCACTGGATCATCTCTAGATGAACCTAAACACAATATTCCATCCCGTTCCATCTCTTTCGCGGCATTCGAAAATTTCCTAATCCTCTCCGTGTGCAGCCTGCGACCTTTCACAACACATATCTCATGCGGCGAGAACAGAGAGACAGCATAGAAAATAAGGAAAGAACGAGAGATTGAGTTGGTCGGGAGAAGAGAGGGACACATCTCTCACACGCATTTGCAGAAGACAAAGGCCGCGAGAACTCCTCATTATTGTGGCCGTACACGGCGATTGCCAAAGTTCATACCGAGATTTTGACCACGGACATGGAAATTAGGATGAGCAAAGAATTGTTTGTTGAACGCAATTAGAGTCTGCACGAAACCCAATTTAGGAACATTCAATTGCGATTATTCTACTGGCCACAGCAGAAGAATCCGATCGTCGGGTCAAATGTTAATTAAGTTCAGGTGAAAGCTTTAACGCAATTCGTTCAATGCACTGTCACCCCCTCGGATCCATAAGTTTAGTTATATAAATCTATTTCTACGCTCTTACCGTACTTACACGATGCCCCAGCATTTCTACTTTCAAAACTCAACTTCCTTGCTTCCTTTTATTGCTCGTTTCTCACTATTATATCTCCAATAGTGCCTCACTTGTATTACATAATCTTTAAACACTTTTCATCATTCCATTGTTTACATCAAATCATGTCAAAACTATAGTTTTCGATATTTATTCAAAAAACTTTTTATATAATTTCTTTATATGGTATTAATAACCCATTATTATTTATATATAAATTCATTTAAATTCCATCATCTTCCTACCAACTAATTAATATAAACAATTTTCTAATAATATTATTATATTTATTGCAACAATAAATTACAAAAGAAAAACTCAATACAATAATAAAAAATGGAATAAAATTCAACTGCTGCAAATGAAATAATATAATATACAAAAGTGTTTTATTCAAAATATCAACAGTACTTAATTGTCCAGGTGTTTAAGCTCGAAAGGCCACCCTTTTTGCCTCGGCAAAATTATTAAGTACTGGTCTCCAATAGGAACATACAAAATTGAGGCATAATCAATGAGTGGTCGACAGATGATTTTATAAATAGATGATAGAGTTTGAATGTTCAATCTCTGGTCCCATATCGTTAGCTCCCTAAAATACCTAGTCATAGCTTCAACTTGCACTTTATTGTTTTTGTATGTAGTTTGAAATTAAGCTTTATGTCGAACATGACACCAAGATATTACACCGAAGTAGAGGCTGCTGATTATAACATGGGACAAGGATGGTTTAATTTGATTGTATGGAATAAATAGTTTAGATTTCGCTGACTCCTCGCACCACCAGATCCAGAAGGGACTGAAGGTTCACAATCTATGTGTCTAGTTTTGTCTAGTGAGAAATCACGGTTGTAGTAAATAAAACATCAGGGTTCCAATCACATAAATCGTATCAAAATATGTTATATTATAAAGAACATATTTGAGAGCCCTGGGAAGTACACCGAAAAGGACAAAAAGAGAATTATCCCCGAACTCTAAGCCAAAGAAACCCCATGAAGAAGTTGTCTTTCTTCATGGACCGCTCTCTTCGGATTAAAGTTCGGATTGTGTAAATTGTTTTCAAGATTGTCTTAAATTATCAATTAGTTTTAATATTATTTTAACTTATTGAGAACTTTATAGATTGCTCATCAACAAAAATAATAAATTCTATTATTTTTTAATTATTAATCAATTATCCATGTAATAAAATATATTAGAAAAGATACTGTTTTAACTAAATATAAATTCTACAAAAAAAATTTAACCGTTTAAAAAAAATATTTTTTAATTGTTTAATCATTTATCTAATTCATATTTTTTTTTAATGAAAAACTGCTTAGAAATGATGAACTAATGTATATTATTTTCAAAATACAGCAATACCTCACATAGTGCGGTATATGAGCACTGTTTGAAACGGGACTAACCGAGGACTTTAAAGTTGCATAAAAATAAATTGTACAAAAAGAAACTTGATCTTTTATGCATACAAAATAAATTTTGTAATTTATTTTTTAATTCAAATTTAGTTTATTTTTAACTTTTGTACTATGGTGAAACGACACTGATCGAATCCGCAATATGCGAGATACTGCTGTATATAGAATGTTACGTTTACAATTATGCAAGTACACTTATACCCCGTTTTCACTATAGATTGATTCCGTGTAAATGGAAATTCTAACTTTTTGAATTTAAAACCGAGTAAATTGAAAAGTTTGTAAAAACCCATAGGACAAGCTTGGTTTCAACAAAGAATAGATATATTTTAAAAGTAAAATTTATAAATTTTCGAGACGAATTAAAAGATTGGTTACGAAAAAATAAATGTTATATAATTATTTTATATTTTTATGAAAATTAACTTCTAAATAATATTGAATATAATAAAATATACTTTCCTATACAGCAAAAAGCTATTACTAAAAAATTATGAAATAAATCAAAATAATCTTGAAGTTTTTAAATGAAAGGTTATTTTATTGCAAAGCCTTTTGTATTAATTACCTATAGCAGCATTGTTACGTTTCGTTCAAATCCACTTTTAATCACGCTCCTGATGATATCTTCGAAGATCACAATTTTTATTGTTTATCTTCATTGTTGAATCGTGATAATCCCTATACAATTACATTACATTTAGAAAACAGTTATGTGCAAATATGATAATTAAAACACACTAAAAATAGAAAAACAAGAAGCGTTCGGCAAAAGTCATGATTTATTAAATTGCACTTTCTAAATGCTTAAAATTGTAGCTTTAAAATGAATAATAGCCGAATTTAAAACAAAAAATACATTAAAATAATGTAATATTAACAGTATATAAAAATTTATTTTAACAAACAATGCATGTGAACATCGTTTGTTACAGAATTTACGAATCTTCGTTCAACTATATTTGGTAAATGGTGTGTGTGTGTGTATATATTTAATGATAATTTGTGGATTTCTAATAAATGATTCACAATGATGGGTTTTCTCCTAGTCTATAAATTCATCCGATTGTTGGTTATGTGAAAGTTCACGGTACTCGTAAAATTGTGATGCATATTGCATATTAAAATAATTTCAGATTAAAGGAAGATTTCTATTCTATTCCACTGCGGAATTGGAATACCAACCAAAAAAAAACAATAATATCGTTACGTATGAAAATGACTTAGATTCACCGGAAGCCGAAAGAGATTCGAATCTTTTTAAATTTAATTCGACTATGGAAATATTTGCATACAACAAAAATAAATTATCAAATTGGAATAGGAAAATAATATAACAATGGATTTGGTAAATATTTAAACAGGATGTGGTTGATTACCTATTTTTAGGTCTATCTTAAATCTACATAACTTTCTACTTAATCACTAAGTAAGATTCTTTATTAAATAAAAATTTAACTTTTGTTAATATAACAAAATTATTTATAATTCGGTTTTAACGTTCTTCGTTTTGAAGAGATTAGCATTTTCCTCGAAGGGTAGGCTATGCCAAAAGGACCTGAAACCAAAGTCCTCGGATTTCTTCATTTCAATACTATCTTGGATGAAGAGGTAGTCCAATGCATCATCGGTGTTTTTGCTAACTGGTGTCCAATCTGGTACAAATTGTGGCTTTCTGCAAAATATAAGTTCATCAATTATTAGAAGATACTATTCATATTTTTCAATTGCAATATAAGACATTAAGCATGATTCTATTAAAAAAATAGTTTTAATGAAAACTTACCCTGTGTGTGCAAAACTAATCCAAATTCCAATCATGGTTTGCACCATTTTTTCATCAGCTTCCGTCAACTTTGCTGTAGTTGGTGAATGGGTATCAGAGAATATGAGCATAAGATCATCTCCATGACAAACACCTATTATAAAATGAAGTTTCAATAAAAATTTCTATTTTTTTTTCTTGAATTACAAACCGTATGTTTCAGTACTTCCACTGAATAAAAGAGCCACGGATGGTACTTCTTCAGCGGAATAATTGAAATGGTAGAAATATAAATCCGATTTGATCGCTTTCGAGTGTAATCTTGCAGTCAAATCTAAATCAGCAACGAAAATCCTATCTCCAATCATCTAATAAAATTAAAATTATAAACTATAAATTTCTTCCTATATTTCTTTTAAATAAATACCTGAATGAGTTGGTAATAGTTTTCTTTGTTGATGTCGGTATCCCCAATATAGAAATCCCTAATCTTCTGCGAAACTTCGTTCATTTGCTCCTTTGATATAACTTCTGAGTAATGCATTATAAGTGGAGCAACTTCATCCCAATCTTTGTTGATCTTCTCCAAAATAGTTTCGCTTGCGAAATCAGCAGCTGGATACAATCCTTCGTCAACAGTTGCGGATATCATATAAGGAACGTCGTAAACTTCTCCTTTAACCAAGATCTCGTATGGATGTTTAGGCATGAACGGATTTTTGCTAGCAGAATCGACGACCAAACCAATTGGCGAGAACGGATTGAACATGAATGTTCTCAGCAGTCTAGTCGCTTCGTTTAATTGAGCGGCGTTCCTAGTTTTCAAACATTTCACCAATTCCTTGGTGCATTTTTGATTGCATCCAACTGCTGCAGCAACTTTCCTCGTCTTTTCAATAGCATGTTCTTGAATAGTCCATGCATTGAGGGAAGATCCGGAAGAGGAAATAGCTTTTGAAAACAATCCTCGAGATAATGGAGATAACAAGTGGAAATGAACGCTAGCTCCTCCAGCTGAAAGACCGGTGATGGTGATGGAATCGGGATTACCACCAAAGTATTTAATGTTGTTTTTAATCCATTTCAAAGCCATGACTTGATCCTTCATTCCAATGTTACCAGGAAGATTCTCATCTTCGGTGCTCAAGAATCCAAACACTCCTACCCTGTAGTTTAAGGTAACCAGAACTACATTTGTATCCATCAGGTATTTTTCACCGGCGTACATATCTCCACTGCCGAACATGAAAGCACCACCATGGATGTGAACGATTACATCATAATTGGAGTTGGAGTTTATTTTATTGGAAGGAACGTAAACATTGACGTGAAGGCAATCCTCTTGTCCCAAGGAAACACCACCTTCTGGGGTGTAATGCATAACTTGCGTACATTCCGTCGATTGGTTAGCAATCCATTTACCTTCCCACGGTTCAACCGAAACAGGATCCTAAAATACCCATTGATTAACTAAATCTAAATAAAAAAACAGGATTATAACTTACCTCGAAACGCAAATTACCAATTGGGGCTTTAGCGTAAGGGATTCCACGGAATTCGGCGTACGAACGTCCTTTGTAAGAAGATGACAAATATCCTTCGATCAAACCATCGGGAATCTTCACCAAAAGCGATTCCTCGCCATTAGCGAAAGCGAATACTAAACCAAAAATATTATCAAAAACAATTTTTGTGAATGTAAGAAATTAAGAAAAAAACATACCAAGTAATAACAACAAATAAAGCATGGTTTCAATTAGAGATGAACTCCAGAACTGCCGGGAATCTCAACAACCTTCCACTTAATATATATTAAGTTTGATAAAGTTGTGTAAACACGGCAATCGTCGTATAATCACTATTTAATTGATAAACCTCGATAGAATGGTCAAGTCATTTAACGATTTTGTGATGATAAACAGTTTCCTACAAAAATTGTGTTTACGTAATCGCAGCATGCAAATCATAGATACCAGTCCATAATCAAGTATTGTCCCACATGCACGAATATCAAATGGTTTGACCTCAGTATCAAGAAATAGATTAATATATAAACTATAGATAGAAAACGCATATTTGTATATGACTTTGAACGGAAAATATTTGTTGAATATATTATCAATTAATTAACACTTCTGCAATCAAAACAAGCTGAAAAATATCAAATCAATTATTACGAAACTTTTAACGAAAGTATTGAATTTGCAAATCATGTCAAGTACTTTCCGAATTCATTAGCTTCATTATAACGTTATACACTTTTGAACTGTTTTTATCGCATAATTAAACTCTACTTGTATTCAATAATTATTAATTTGAATTCAAGCATTTTTTCATTCATGATTAATTATATAAGAAATGTTAATTTTGTAAAGAAAAAAATGTTTATTATTACATGATTTTTTGAAAGTTGACTATTCATCGTATTTTTTACGATAATAAAAATCATTATTTTTTTTTCTATACATTGTAAAAGGTTTTATGATAGTTATAACAGAGGGATTCATTTTAAGAAATATAAATATCACATGTTCTCATTCTTCGCAGATCAAGTTGATTTGCAATAATTTTCATTTTCCGTACAAATCTAGGCCATAATTATCACATTATTACATGAACGCAACAGCAATTTCTTGCATCAAACTAAAGCGAATGCATTTTCCAATCAAACACTTACTTACTTCTTTGAAACGCTTCTACAACATTTATTGTATCATGGCTTAAAGGATGTTTTGCATTTAGAAAAAACAAATATAATTTTTGCAATAAAACAAAACAAAATTGAATGTCAAAAATAGAGATTTATTTTGTATTGCTGATGTAAACAATTAATTTAAATATTTACAACTCGGATTTTGCGTTTTCTTTGTACAGATTTGCACTTTCGGCGAATGGGAGGCTTTCCCAGAATTTCCTCTGTCCTAATTGATCGGCAGTCTTCATTGTAAAACCTCCGTTGATGTACAGGTAATCAATGGGTTCTCCGCACTTTTTACCTACTGGTTTCCATTGAACTTTGGTCTTAGGCACTCTGAAATGAATTATTTAAATGAGAAATATTTCGCAAATATTATTTATAACTTAAGTATACCCGGTTTTAGCGAAACTTGTCCAGATTCCCAGAAGGTCCTCCTTCATTTGCTCATCGTTAAATGTCATTTTCGGTAAAGTGCACTTGCTTACGTCGGAGAAAATGAACATGACATCATCACCGTGGCATACACCTAGAAGATGAAGTGTACATGAAGACGATAATTAGTTTAGTTTTTTAATATTTACCATATTTTTCCTTTAATCCGGTAAATTCAGTAGCGAAAGTTCCAATTTCTTCAGCGTAATGATTGAAATAGTACATGTAAACTGGGGATTTGATGGCCTTGGCATGTAACCTGGCAGATAATTCTATATCTGCAGTGAAATGGCGATCACCAATCATCTAATTAAGAAATAATTGATAAATAACATTTAATTAATGTAAATTGCATTACTTGGATCAAAGGATGGAAGTTCTGTCTGCTGATGTCTTTGTCACCCATGTAGAACTTTCTAATCTTTTGCGAAACGCTATCTAGCATATTTTCAGGAACGGTTTCACGGTACTGTAAAATGTCTGGAGCTACCTGGTTCCATTCGTTGTTCATTTTCTGGAAGTTCTTGTCGCACACAGCAAATTCTGGAAAAAATAATTATAAGATACCTAATTTTATAATATGCTGTTAAAGGTAACTTACCGGCCGCTGGGTAAAGCCCTTCGTCGGCTGTGGCAGAAGCAATCCAAGGTACATCGTAAACTTTTCCTTGCTTCAAAAGTTCGTATGGTTGTTGAGGCAAAAAGGAATTTTTGGAATAACCATCAACGACGACTCCTAGAGGATTCATGGGGTTGAATGCGAAAGTTCTCAAAACCCTAGTAGCTTCATTGATTTGCGCTCCGTTTCTACTCTTAAGACATTCGACTAATTCCTTTTTGCAGGTTTGTGTACAACCGACGGCTTCTCCAATTTTCATTGCCTGCTTCAACGGGTTTTCTTGCAAAGTCCAAGCGTTCAAAGTGCTTCCGGATACGGAAATAGCTTTGTTGAACAAATTCCTAGATAGAGGAGAGAGCAAATGGTAATGGACACTAGCACCACCAGCTGATAATCCTGTGATGGTGATGGAATCTGGGTTTCCACCGAAATTCTTGATGTTATTCTTGATCCATTTCAGCGCCAAAACCTGATCTTTCATGCCCAAATTTCCAGGCAAATGTCACGAAGATGACATCTTTATCCATGAGATATTTTGGACCTGTGTAAGCGTTTCCAGCGCCATACATGAAACATCCACTGTGGATATGAACGATAACGTCCAAATTAGCTTTCGGACAAATGGTTTTATTTGGGACATAAACGTTTACGTGTAAACAATCTTCTTGTCCTGCAGATTTACCGCCGGCGGGTTTAGGCCAATGACTCACTTGCAAGCAAGAAGTGGATTGGTTTGCAATCCATACACCTTTCCATGGTTCAGCTGGTTGAGATTCCTGAAATTACATAAAATTTAATACTATCCACACCAAATTTATCATTAACGCACTTCGAATCTTAAGTTTCCAATCGGAGCTTTGGCGTAAGGAATGCCAACGAATTCAGTGTACTCACGACCTCCGTAAGAAGTCCTGAAAGTTCCTTGAATTTTTCCATTCGGAGTTTCAGCTAATGGAACTTCCGAGCAACTGGTGTAAGCCAAACCTGCAGCAAATAATCATTAAGCTTTATGTAATAATTTCATTGGTTAAATAACGTACCCAGAATTACAAGCAGAGAATATCGCATAGTGAAGTGATTTAGTAGCATCTGCACAGAATTTGCTTGATTCGTCCATTTATATAGATTCCAGCGGAATATTTACCGATAATATTCAAATAAAAGCTAATCTGCGAAGACGATAAACGAAAAATAGCAAAATCACTTTCAACAAAAACAAAACGTCCGTCGGAATATGCGCAATCCCGTTTGATTAATAAATATATTCAAGTCATTTTATTTTTACTTTCAAGCCTAATTTAATTACATGACGCTAATTGGAGGCTCATTAAAGAACAACATGTTTTATTTTCAATTTGACCTCTATTATCTATGAATATTCCAGAATGGTAATCTCTGTTTGTTGCTTAATTGTGAAAATCATAAATTTCAACGAAATAGAACTATATTTATTTATATAATTTCATAAATGTAATTTGTTCAAAAATATGACTTTCTTAATAATTTAATAAAATAAAGATTTAAAAATTTAATTAGTTGTTACAAATCTGATTATTTTTTAATAATATTTAATAAAAATAATTAGTAAACTAATTATTCTAGCCAGAAAGACTGTGGGTTATAAATTTTGTCCTAATTGAGGGCCAAGAAAACAGAATTCATAATAATTAAAAGTAATATTAAAGACAATAAACAATAATAATTATTATGAAGAATATAAATTTCGAATAGAAATATTTATGAATGACATGCAAAAATATAATGAAACAGTAGATCATAGTATAACAATAACTAAAATTGATAAAATTAAAAATGTATTCTTGACAACGCAATTAAAAGAAATAAGCATTTAAATATAATAAAGAATTTAAAAACATCATATTATTTCTTTCAGTAACTTGTTTTCATTTTTGTTTCCAATATTTTTTGTTACTTCAATATGTTAGAATTAGATGTTACAGATATTTAGTATGTGTTAATAAATTTTTAAAATATTTTGTTAGTAAAAGCGATTTTTTTCTTAATGACCAAAATTTCTTAAACAATTGTTGGCAAGTATTTTTTGTTGCTGAATTTAATTGAAATATAGGAGAACTTTCTCGTTGTGACCGTGACTTGTAACGATTTATTTTCATTTCAATCCTTGATGCGCCATCTTTTTTGTTATTAATGGATTAAATAAAAGTTTACTTCTCTAAATTTCACACAAAATTCTTATTATTAACAAGTAATTTCCAATATAAACAAAAATACAATTTAAACATGATTAATGTCCAAAATGGTTTACGTATTTATCATTAACTTACCCAACTAATGACAATAAATCATTTAAAATAAACTCAATAAATGTTTCCATTCAATTTTTCTGTATTAAATTATAATTATTTTAAATTATATTATTGGGTAGAAGGACATATGTTGTTAGCTCTTTCACCCAAACTAAGGAATATAACAAATTGTAATTAAATATAATATTATACATTTTTGTTTATATTCTAGTCCATGTATTGATTAATTTTGAAGTTATTATTAATTATATATACACTATATTATTATTTCCTGGTCAGAAAGACCTATAGTCAATAACACTTTTCAACAAATAACTTTTTGTTTTAGTATTATTGTTGTTGCATGAAAAGTTTTAATTTTGTTTTTTGTTGTTGCAATAAATGAATATTATTATTAATAAACATAACATAAATAAATCTTATATAATTTATTATTAATTAAAGTTTTTTCTTTTTCTATTTCTACCAGCGCCAGTTGTAAATAAAGTTTATTGTAAAAAATAAAGTTTATTATTTTTTTTTTGATTCGTTGAATAAGTTGCATACATATGTGAAATTAATGTAAACTTCATTAATCAAAACGATTTAATTGTGGTATTCAAAAAGTAAATTATATTCAAATAATTCTATATGGTTATGTATATATGTTATATTATTAAAAACAAAAGACTATGTATCAACTGTTTTCTTGTCATGTTATTTTAAATAAATAATTTGAATTTATAATAGAACAATTTCATAAAACTTTGTTTTTTTCTAATTAATTGTCTTAAAGTCTTCATCATCAGACAAATATTAGGGTGTGGTTATTTCAAGAACTACCCTAATTACTCTTAAAATTATAAATATTGATTTGTTTCTTTATTCTTTATTTTCTAAACACGTGTGTAGCGTAGCTAATAATGATAAACAATAACTTATGGAAGGTAAAGGGAGTTGTAAACACTTTTATGACAGGGTTAATTGTATACTAATAATTCGCACAAAAATTGACCGAGGGGGACTACCTGGATAACCAAAGATAGGAGAGGAAAGGGAAAAAAAAGTCCCTTAAATAGTCTAGGTTGTCCAGGTTCAGAATTCAGTTTAGTTTGTTGCTTTCACAGGGTTAACATCTGATCCTGTTTTGAAGTTTGGTGCTGTGTGCATTGTGCGAGTGTATATTTTTGTGATAAACTAAAATGTCAAGGTTTGTAGCAAACATTACTTCTTTTGATAGAGCACTTGCAAAGTATCGAAACTACGGTAGTTCGTGTGTGTTTAATTGTCATTAAACTGTTAATTGGGAAGACTAATTATTGTTAAACAAATCGATAGATAGTAATTTCAAAATACAAGCAATCTAATTAATTTCATAGATAAACGAACTGTTGCAAACGTTAACTCTGTTTTGTTAACAGACGAATCATTGATTGTTAACAATTTTTTTTGGAGAATTTCGATCCGTAACCTTAAAACTGCTTAAACAATTATTAATTAAAATGATTTCTTTATACAGCACGTCGGGTTATTCAGCGGAGAATTGGGAAACAGAGGATGATCTGAGCCACAGAATTGAGCGTATTGAATTAGATGATGAATTCAGAACATATGTGGATGATTTCTTGAAATCATTTGTCGAAAATCCCTCATTGGGCTCCCAAGTACTTAGTGGATTGTCTGATGTCGAGCAGAACTATTTTATGTCCAAGACAATTCCCTTAAACCTCTACACAAAAGTAAACTCATTCAGTCCCGGATTCCAAACATTATGTATCAGCAAATCGAGGTTCAAAAGTATGGATCAAAGAGTCCATCCACATAGTATGTGCAACAAGAACAAGGAAATTTTAAACAATTATGTAAAGTGTGAGATATCTATGGCAGCAAACAGTATTGAAGACAATAGAGTTCATGACTCACTAGGGAAGTTGTGCTTGGAACCCATGAAAAATGTATCGAAAACTCAAAGCCCCATGTGGAAAGAAAGAGAATCACTTCCAATCTTCAACAGTAAACAGAAAATTTTAAAAGCGATAGCTAAAAACTCAGTGGTCATAGTGTCAGCAGAGACAGGCTCTGGAAAGACCACACAAGTATCCCAGTATATATTGGAGGAGGCTGCAGAGAAGAGAAAACCTGTGAAGATTGTCTGCACTCAACCAAGGAGAATATCCACAATATCAGTGGCAAACAGAGTGGCTGCAGAAAGGGGAGAAGAAATAGGAAATACGGTTGGGTATCAGATAAAGTTAGAATCGCGCATTTCAGCGCAAACATCATTGATATATTGCACTAGCGGTATCTTGTTAAAAACTCTTATGTTTGGTGAAGAACAGTTTAAAAACATGTCGCATATTATTGTGGACGAAATTCACGAGAGGGATAAGAATAATGATTTCCTTTTGATCTGCTTGAGGAGGGCTTTGGAGAAGTTTCCACATTTGAAAATTATTCTGATGTCAGCCACAATGGATATGGATTTATACGTGAATTATTTTAAAAAAGTCGAAATAGTTAGCGTTGCCGGAAGATCCTACCCTATTACTTCATTGTTTCTTGATGATATATTGCCGATGACTAGATACACGGATTTAACTATTATGAATCATTTAGAAAAGAATGATTTTGTAGAGTATGATTGGGTACCAAGAGAACAAACATCCAGAGAATTTGTAGATCCCGATTTGGACGAGGAAGTCGTCCAAACTTTGAGCGTGTGCTGTAATGAAGGGAATCCGCAAAGCTTCGATCATATGATGCAGTTGATCAAATGTGAAAACATCCCCGTTGACTATGTAGGCTTCCACGCTAGTCTTCCTACAATATTAACAGCGGCGTGTTATCATGGAAGACTTGACTTAGTTCAGACTCTTTTACCTTTAGGTATGATGAACAAATTAACAACAATTATTAATTTACACTAACTTAATTGTAATTTGTTTTAGGTGCATCAACACATTCTACATATTATGCTAAATCTGTGATAGAGGTAGCTCGGGAAAATGGACATATAGATGTTGCTAATTACATAGAGGACTATAAAAGGAGGTTCCTGGAAAGGGTTCCCGCAGATGAGTTCTTCAACTTATACGAAAAACTAACGTTCTGCCAGGATTACGAACTGGATAACGAACTTATTTTGTCTGTAATCAATTATATCCACACCAATTACGATAGGAGCGGAGCTATTCTGGTGTTTCTACCAGGATACGATGATATAATGCATTGTTTAAACAAGTTGAAAACCAACAAGAACTACGCTCTTTTCCCGCTACACAGTAACATCCAGATGAGTGAACAGAAGAAGATATTTAGGCGTGTTCCTCAGAATCAGCAGAAGGTCATACTGTCCACAAATATTGCTGAAACCAGCATAACCATCGACGATGTTAGATATGTTGTGGATTGCGGCAAAGCCAAAGTTAAAGATTTCGATTTGGTTAGTATACATTTATTTATAAAATGTTAAAATATTTATTTTTATTCTAAACTATTATTCAGGCGACACAAGCATCGTGTTTGCAAACACAATGGATTTCCAAAGCCAGTATGAAGCAGAGGGCAGGCCGAGCCGGTCGTACTCAGGATGGCCTATGTTTTCATATATATTCCAAGAGATGTTACGAGTCTCTGGAAGATAATACGATACCGGAGATTTTAAGAACTCCTTTGCAGGTAAATAATATATATTTATGCAATATAAAACATAAACTAATTGTATGTTTTTGTTTGTTTAGGAATTGTGTCTTCAGGCTAAAGTGCTAACTTCTAAAGAAGAATCAGTCACTTGCTTTTTGCAGGAAGCTATAGAACCACCATCAACAGATTCAATTAATAGTGCTATTATGTCTTTGAAATTCCTGGGAGCCATGGACGCTCATGAAAATTTAACTGATTTAGGAAAACATTTGGCCAAGATTTCATTGCCTGCGCATTTAGGAAAAATGCTTGTTTATTCTTGCATTTTCAAATGTCTAGAACCGATTCTTATCCTGGTATCAGTTTTAGTTCAAAAGTAAGTATAGCAATTAATAATTGTAGTAAGTATTTATATTAATTTCCATATTTTCAGGGATCCGTTTGTTTTGGGAGCAAATAACAGAACGCAGCGTTTCAACTTCGGAAATAATTCATCCAGTGATCATTTCATATTGATAAGACTATTCCAGAAATGGGATGAAGCTCGATCCGTGGGCAAGCATTTTGCTTTCTGCTATGAAAATTTTATCAGTCCGTCGTCCATGGACACAGCGAAGCAAACTGCTAAGCAACTGTTGAATCAATTGAAATCGCTAGGTTTCGTACCACCCACTGCATTTTCTAATAATAACGAGTTGAATTTCAACTCTAACTGTTGGCCTATGGTGAAAGGTTGCATTGCCACAGGTTTATACCCAAAACTCGCGTACTACGATGATGATAGACTGAAGATTAACGCCGGTGAACGTGTGAAAGTTCACAGCTCATCCATCAACAAAGGAAAGGATTCTGCTAATAGAGAGAAGCAACGTGAACTCTGGATCGGTTACGAAGAGTTGACCAAAAATTTTAGGAACAACTACGGCAAGAACATGATTAAATGCACGACTGTCTTCAATGCATTGACGGTAAGTTAAGATGATGATGTTATTAAAGCATGTATTACGACTATCGAATTTACAGGTTGCACTATTGTGTGGAGTTGATGCTGATTTTTCGGATGGAGTAGACGAAGTGTGCCTCGATGATAAACACGTATTCATATTTATGCATGTCGATTTACAAAAGTTCCGTACGAACGTCGACGAGCTGATCAAGAAGAAAATTTGTTTCCCGAGGACGTCTTTCAATAACGAGGAATTCAACATCGTAAGGAACTTGGGTATATTGTTGACCAATGAGGACATTGAATGCGAAGTGCCGATGGTGAAAATGGGAATCCAGAAGCAAAACAAATTCCCGGGAAATAACTTCAACAGTAGTCCGAGAAATCACCAGTACAGACCACGTCACGGAAAGAAGTAGATTCACTTAAGTATTATCGCGTAGGTTAAGCATAGATTAATTTAATATATTATTTTTAATTATATATAGTATTAGTTAAGATCTCATTATATAGTATTAATATTCTATATTATATTTGATGGTTGTTATATTTATATAAAACTTATAAGCAAGTTGAACGTGAATCATTTTGAGAGTATTCTGCAAAAAAATAGTATTTTATATAAGGAAAACAAAAATGATTGCGCATTGTGAGCTGTTTAAAAAAGATTTATTCCTAGTAATATTATACGGATCTTTCTTGCATTTAACGTGAACATTAATAATAAACCACGTTTGTTATATACGTATTTCGATTTTGAACAATCATTTGGTGGTTTTTTCAATTTTACACTGTCATTTTGTAGTTGTAAAATGTTGCGATACACACTCTAACTCCATTAATGGACATAAGCAATTCACATTCATATACCTCATTATATTGACTGCCTACCGACATTACTTTGGATTATCCAACAAAGTAATGTTCTCATCTACCCAAAATTGTCCAATACTTGGAGATGATACAAATTATTCGAATCGCGAAATTAATTGCTATGATTGTCGATTAGTGCAAGATCAGCAGAAAACAAATAAATTGATATATATATAATTAGCAAAAACATCTATATTTTTCAATTCAACCCATTGCCTCTTTATTATTTTAAATGGAAATTTCAGTTGGCCTAGAGTTTAAAGGCGTAGCCATGGCGAAACAAGTAAATGCATTCAATTCAATAACTCGCGTCGATCAAAATTTTTGGTGAGGAGATTCTCTCACTAATAAATTCTTAATGTGTTGAAATTTCGTGTTTTGTACAAATTTTCGTTTTCCTTTCGAAACATGGTGAGTGCTACCGATTTTAATCATCATTTCATTATATCTATAATATTTTCACTCTTAGAGGGAGTGTATATCGGTTCACATTGGTCAAGCCGGTGTCCAAATTGGAAATGCTACTTGGGAATTGTATTGCCTGGAGCATGGCATCGAGGTGGACGGCAAACCCTCTTCGTCAACTACTGATAATAGCTATGGAACATTCTTCTCCGAGGTGGAAAATGGGAAGATGGTGCCACGAGCTATTATGGTAGATTTGGAACCAACAGTTGTAGATGAAATAAGAACCGGAACGTACAAGCAACTGTACCATCCAGAGCAATTGATTACCGGAAAGGAAGACGCCGCTAATAACTATGCGCGCGGTCATTATTCCATTGGCAAAGAGATGATCGATACTGTGATGGAGAAGATCTATAAACTGGCGGAGCAATGCTGCGGCCTTCAAGGCTTCTTCGTCTTCCATTCATTTGGAGGAGGCACCGGCTCCGGTTTTACTTCTCTACTAATGCAGAAGCTTTCACAAGATTTTGGAAAAAAAAGCAAATTGGAGTTTGTCGTCTATCCGGCCCCGCAAGTACATTAACATTACTTCAAATAAAATAACAATCATTTAAAAAATAATAATTTCAAGGTATGCACTGCTGTTGTGGAGCCTTACAACTCTATCCTTACCACGCACACCACTTTGAATCACTCGGATTGTGCTTTTATGGTTGACAACGAAGCAATCTACGATATCTGTCGCAGGAAATTAGGAATCGAGAGGCCGAGCTACGTGAATTTGAATAGACTCATAAGTCAAGTAGTCTCTTCGATAACAGCTTCTTTGCGATTTGACGGCGCTTTGAATGTGGATTTGACAGAATTCCAAACGAATTTGGTACCTTATCCTAGAATCCATTTCCCTCTAGCTTCTTACGCACCAGTCGTTTCTGGCGAAAAGGCCTACCATGAAGGTATGTCTGTAGCTGAGATTACAGCTGAATTGTTTGAGCCTACAAACCAAATGGTGAAGTGCGATCCGCGTCAGGGTAAATACATGGCCTGTTGCTTATTGTACCGAGGTGATGTAGTCCCTAAAGATGTTAACGCTTCAATCGCGCAAATGAAGGCCAAAAGCAATGTGAGATTCGTCGATTGGTGTCCTACTGGCTTCAAAGTGGGTATCAACTATCAACCACCGACTGTAGTTCCGGGAGGTGATTTGGCTAAAGTCCAACGAGCTGTTTGCATGTTGTCAAATACTACTGCAATCGCTTCCGCTTGGAGCAAACTGAATAGAAAATTTGATCTAATGTACGCCAAAAGGGCTTTTGTTCATTGGTACACTAGCGAAGGCATGGAAGAAGGAGAGTTCGGTGACGCGAGGGAAGACCTAGCTGCTCTCGAGAAGGACTATGAAGAGGTATCCTCGGAGGCTTACGGCGACGAAGACGAGGACAAGAACGTGGATTACTAATGTGCACCAACGCGTAAATTACTTGTTAACGTCTATTTTTTAAACATTTCTTTTGGCACAATAAATTTCGAGAAATGATTAAAAAATTTAATAAGAAACTTAAGAAAAACAAAACAAAAACATGACATAATATATTTTTTTCGTAATTTCATAAAAAAAGCAAATTACAGGTACTTTTTTTTAATACTTGTTTTTTTTTAATATTTATGGAATGATACGCATCTTATGGTTCGCTTTTCTTCAGTAGCTTGTCAATTTCTGCTCCTAACGTATCGACGCTTTCCTGTAAATAAATAAAGAAAAGTTGAAAAAGTTAAAAGTTTTTATTTTAATTATTTACTTTTAAGGTGATGTTCTTGAGCAGGGCATCCTCTAGTACGGCTTGGAGTTTTCGGTTGATGTCGAGAGAAAGCTCCAATGTTAGATTTTCATCTAACACCTTTGATCCATACATAGATGCCATTACTCCAGAATGCTTTGCTAAGTGCGCCTTTTCGAATTATAAACACATTATTAATAAAAACAATATTAGAAACATGAACCTCATCTATAAATTACGCAAACCTTGATGTAACAATTTGGTTACTTACCAAAATTTTGAGGACTAAAAATAGCAAGCAATAGAGGAAAGAAAGAAGCAAAAGAATTCCAATTAGTCTTTGAATATTTCAGGCAAATGTAGATATCAAGCATTAATATGTTATAGATTATGTTTCATCTCATTTCATCGACAAGATAGCGTTTAACCAAATAAAAAGTATTAGTTTCCAGCATTTTCAATTCAGATGAAAATACTAATATTAAGAAATTACCTTGTTGTTATCCATCATATTGGAAGACAACGTTCCCGCTTGTTCTCTAAGTACGTAACTCTGCAACAACCTTGATTTTTTCTGCAGCTCGGCTACTAAAGTATTTACATGCTCCTCGAGGAAATCCAGTTTTTCCGACTTCCTAGCGCTTGCTCTTTGCAGCTTAACGATATGTTCTATCAATGTTTGCTTATCCACTTCTCTCTCAGGTTGCACCACCTAAAATATATCAAGGTATAAATATACACATCATTCAAGTCTGAATAAGTAAATTTAAGTTATAAATTTACCTTAACTTGATCATTTGATGGTGTTGGAGAATTGTCATTCCTCTCTACAGTATTTAAAGAAGTACTTGAACTGCTACTGCTTGCAGTACCAACATTTTCATATTGTTCCAACTTTTTCCTACATTGAGTCAACTCTTTATTCACTTCCTACAAATAAGTATAATTAAATTACTCTAATATTGACAAAATAACGTATTGCAATACTCTTAATGATAGTTCCAACTTTCTTTTAATAACTGTATTCTCTCCCTTCTGATCTGCCACGTCTTGCTTTAATTTTTCACTCAACTTAACCGCCTCGCTTAGGTCATAGGTGAGTCTCGCAATCTCTTCGGAAGACTTATTTCTAAATTCCAACAACTGCGTTGACAATAAACTAGCCTTTGTTTCGTGCTCTTTAGCTGATCTCTTCAAGACAGCCTGTTCACAAGTCAACTGCTGCACCTTAGTTTCCATCGCCGTAAATTCCGATTGCAAACGTACGTTCTTGTCAGTCAACTGATGCGTAAAAGACAAAAGCTCAGCTTCGTGATGTCGGCAAGATTCTATATCAGCTAACAAATCGGAATTGCGTTGTCTCAAAATGAATATCTGTTCATTTGCAGCTAATAATTGTTCTTGTTCACTGAAATAAATTATAATAATTTTAAGATTTAAAAAAATAGAAAAATATTTTTAAATACTTTGTTAATTGCAATCTCATTTGTTCCAATTGGGCAGTCTTTGCATGCAATTCCGCGGAATTCTGCTTTTGCTGATCAGAGCATTCCTTAAGCTCACTGAATTTTTGCTCCAACTCAGATCTTTCCTTCTCCAACTGTTGCACCTTCATCGACAAACAATTATTCTCCTGCAAAGTCTCGCATTGCTTCTTCTGCGACTTCTCGAGCTCCATCTGCAAATTCCTAACTTGCAATTCCCGATCTTCCCGCTCATGTCGCAACAAAATTTGCGTAGCTTGCAGCTCTTTAACTTGTTGATCTAAAACAGTCAAATTTACATTGAGTTAAGATCAATTAAATTATTACCTAATGTATATGCCCTATTCTCTTGTGATGTTTCAAATTCTTTAATAGAATCCAAAGCTTTCTGCTTAGTCTTCTCTGCATCATTAATGGCATCTTGGATGGTTCCATTAAGACTATCCACCTTTGCCTCAGCATCCTTCCTATACTCAATCTCATTCTTTAAACTATTCTGAGACCACTTCAGTTTAGTTTCTAAGGCATTTAAGTCACTTTTTATTCTCTCATATTCTTGTTGACTAGATTTCAATTCATAACACTGAAAGAAACAAACTTTTATTAAACTATAAACTTGCACAAATCCAATTTTAAACTTACCTTATTATCAAGTAAATTACAAATCCTTGTTTTTTCAGCACCCATAGATGTGAGCTTGTGTTGTAGCAAATCATTCTCACGATGAGCTTCTTTAAGTTTCTTCTCTGCCATCTCTTTGGCACTTTGCTGTTGTAAAACATTCTTCTCACTGACTGCATACCTCATCACCATAGATTCCTTCTCCCTAATAGCATTATCCTTCTCCCTAAATGCATTATCTTTCTCCCTTATCACCAAATCATAAGATCCTTTCAATTCCTTCAATGAACCTTGCACCCTATCATTCTGTGATTCCAATTGTTTTATTCTATCTAAACCATAATTCACTTCAAGCCTAAGTTGTGCTATCAATTCATTTAATTCCTTAACACTGTCTGATTCCAAGTTATTAACTTGTGTATCTTCAACATTTTCTCCCTGTTTTAAATCCACTTCTTCACTTGGTTCCTCCAACTTATCACTTGATACTTCAGAACTCATTTTCCTATGTTTACAATGTCTTGACGTCTTAATTTTTGATAATTTTATAACATCATCTTCACATTTCTTATTGGAATCGAACGATTTTCTGGCATCTTTGACGTTTCTTCTGTCACTGTCACATCAAAAGTAGGTTATGTTTCTGAATACAAAACAATTACAAGCATCAAAAAGCGCTAAGATTCAAATTCAATTTGTAATAAAAATCAAACAAATTTAGATCTTCCTTTTCAATTATTTATTAACACATGGTTAGTTTAATATTAATATGGTTTAATTAAGATATACAAGTGTATCATAATTCTTATTATTCAATGAAATGTAATTTTATCTCAAGAAAAATTAATGGTTAATTTACATAAATAAATTGAAAACGGATCAAATTGAAAATACGTAAATAAAATATAATATACTTAGATGACAAACATAAAAAAATACTAGTAAATCAGGATAATATAATATTCTTAAAATTAAATTGAAATTCTTTAAATAGATAATTATATTAGAAATAAAATATTTGTTACTCAAAATTAGCAGCATTTTCACTGCGATTATTACCTAAAATTGCACGTTTCAAATATGGATTAGTGATATCCGAAGATTTATCCAAAACCATAGAAATGCACAATCGCCTACCCAAATTAGAATCCAACTGTTGACCGTCTTCAGTCAAATGGATCCTAGGATGTATAAACGATCTGAAATTATGATGATATAATATACGAATTGCGTTCAAACATGAATGACATACTTGACTTCTTGATACTGCATGTTGGTCTTGCTGATCCAATTAATTCTGCAAGAACGACTTTGCTCCCCAAAATTAGTGCTCAGTAGCTTAGCAATTCCTTGGAAAGTCATGGTACTACGTACAGTGAATATCAAAATAATTGTTTGTCCCGCCTAGAATTGTTAAAAAAAAAGTTAGATTTAGAAATGATCTTAAAAATGTTAATCCTTACTCCAAAAACTTCCATCAATTTCTTTTCTGTTTGCGGAGAGAACGTCCAGACGTTCTGCTTCATGCTAATCAAGACGCTCTTAATTTCGATTGGTTTTATAATAACGTAGTAAGCGTTTTCGGGGAATAAAAATAAGTAATCGCTGCGATATTCCAAAGAATCGTTTGATTTTTTCTTGATCTCTTTCTGAACAACGTTTGTAGAAGGTTTCAAATTCACAAATCTGTTACTCCTAAAGCAAGCTGGCACATATGAGCCGCTTTCAACATTGTGTCTAATGTCTAAAAACGCTGGTCTTTGTCCTACATTTTCGGGTTGCTTCATTTCGTATTCAACGTCTTCGGCAGAGACAATTTGAGATACTAAGTTTATAAAAGTCTTCTCTCCGTGACTATAACGAGAGCGAGGGTAATTCAATTTCTTGTAAATTATGTAATCTAAGTTGTTCTGCAAAATCTCAATGTTAATACCATTGAAATTAATATTCAACTCTTTACGACGATTCCAGATGCGGTAAACTAAAGCGACCTAAACAATTTTTCAAACAACATAAGATATTGATAGATGAATTATATAATATGTTTACATACAGTTAAAGGATTGACTGCAGTTAAATACTTTACGTAACTATAGTTCAGTACTTTGTTAATCCGTTGGAAAACAAACCAACTGTTGGAGTTTTGTTTGTTCTTGGCGAGTACTGAAGATTCATCAACTTTGATCTTGTTTTGAGTTGAGCATAGATAATCATCGACGAAAGTGGCGATATTCGGGAACATTCCTGCCACAATACAAAATTTTACCATAGGCCAACAGCTAGAATTGTTATTCAGTAAAGCCATAGTGTCGACGTGGGTGGTGTTTACGAATCCTAAAGCCCTCAATTGGGTCAACAGTTCCGATCGGGTCGACATCACTGATTCCATCACTGCAGTACTTATTACAGATCCAGGATTAATCTGCTTGATTTTATTCATCTACATAATAATAGTAAAATAATTAACATAAACATAAAAAACATACAAGCTATAATTTACCTGCCACTTTTGGAATAATTTTATAAGAATCACATGATCGCTATGACCATTATCGTCCAACAAGTTTAACTCAGTTTTTGAGGCGAAGTAGCTAAAACTATTTACATGTTCTAATTATTAATTAATCAAAATTTTAACCAGATTTTCACTTACTAATTATGAGACATGGCGACAAAAGTCAAAATCGGATCTAGGCATTCGAAAATGCACGAGTAAATCAACATCTTAGATAATTGCGGTTGAGTAGGAAATTTCACAAGGAAATCGCCCAAAGTCGTCAAGTTTTCGTTGGGATTTATGGCGCCTAGATCATAGAGCGAGAGTATAGCTTCTTGGATCACATTCAGTGGTGGTGGTTCTATGAGCTGCATTAAATACATTGCAATTGACTCTTGCTTCTTTTTCAGGACAATACTTTGAAGACATATATTCTAAAAAAGTAATAATTATTTTATATAATCATTTCTCGAAGATTTCTCGAAAACGTAGAATTTTCATCTTATTTTAAATGACTTAAGTAATAAAGATTTAAAATGTTTTAAAAATTCTGACAAATTTTCTTAACTTTATCTGATTTGTAAATGTTTTTTTATAAGGATTGTGTTTTATCGATAATATTTATTTCTTATATTAAAAATATGTTATTTTTCTTAATCGTCCAGTTACAGTTAACGAGAGAATTAAGAAAACGAGACTTCTCCAAATCATTTATTTACGACTCTCAGGTAAATATGTGTAATCATTATACCATTTAATATACAAACCCTAAAAACTAAATTGAAATAGGAAGCGTCAAAATTAAATTTAATAGATTTCTTTGTGGTTCCTTTATGGTCTTTTATGGTTATTAGTCTATAAATTTTATGAGCTGTTTTCTAAAATATGTCTTCTGGTATTACCAAAAGTTTTAAAGAACTTTAATATATTTTAATTTTCAGAATAAGCGCTATATTGTTGGACTTAATTGCTACAATGATATAATACTTACATGTATCGGTACCTTAGAAATCTCTGCATTTATTTTCATATTAAAAAATGTTGATTCGTCAATTTCGTATAAATGAAAGCAAATACCAGATCCAGCTAATATTCTCCTCTTTAGAATGCGATCTTTTGAAATCCATTCCACGTCATAATAAATATTTTGAGTCATCTAAAAAAAAAATAATTAATGAAAAATAATAAACAGTTTTTCATTATCTTACTGCATCTAAACGGTCTGTAGTTTCGATTCCGTCGTCAATAACGAAAGCTACATCATTATAAGAAATCGAAGTTTCAGAAATTTTCGTTGTTAAAATAATCTTACGAATTCCCGAATGCGAGGGTTCAAATAAACCTGCGAGATCTTTATAATTTACGTTATTATGTACGGTGTATAATTTAAAACTTCTGTAATTGTCCATGTTTTTCAAATGCCTGTGACATTGATCTATGACATCAATACTAGGCAGGAAGATGAGGATCGATCCAAGTTGACCCAAGCCTTCGATATATTCAATAATGCCCTTGAGAAGATTAAAACCGAAAGGACGATTTATATTTGATTTGGTATGGAGACAATTTGTTTCGTCTAATTGCTCTAAAATTTTAAGCATTTGATTACTGGGAAGAATATTTAAAGAATTTAATTCTTCCAGAATCAAGCCGTTGGCACCCAATTCAAGCATCTTCTCGACGTAATGTACATTATCATGCTTTACTGCAGCGATAAAAGGAGTAACATTGTTATCAGCAACTATATTGATGGATACTTCTTTATTTACAATCATATTCAGAAGCTCATCAATACTTTTATCATTTCCTGTACTATAATAGTCCTCCAGCAACCTTTTACCCACTGTATTCTTCGATTCATCATCATTTTCGGAACAGTCTTGTAAATCATTTAAGTTGTCAATGATCTCTTCCAAATACAAATCAGACGCGGTACATTGTTCGGTTATTTGTATCACATTTAAATTGTCAAAGTAATTGACTAAAAGTTCAACATCCAAAGCAGCCGTCATTAAAATGACCTTCAATTTAGGAAAGATAGTCATGGCATTCTTCAAGCAAAGTAAAATCATGTCGGTGTTCTTGTCCCTCTCCTGAATTTCATCAAGAATCAAATGCGAAATATTCTTCAGGCATTCATGGTTGAACATGAAGTTCTTCAACAATATATCGTTCGTGCAGTAAATCAATGAAGTTTGAGAGCCGACCTTCCCTTCCAAGTTAACCTGATAACCTACTGTCTCTCCAACTTTCTCTCCTCTATCAGCAGCAACTCTCTCTGCCACTAGAATCGTAGACAACCTATTAGGCTGTGAACAAATTATGTTGACGGAACTTTTTGTTTTGCATGCATCTTCCAATATGAATTTTGGAACGTAAATTGCTCTCCCTGAACATCCCGCAATCAAAACATTCGATGATGCGGAGATTTTACCTAAAATGTACGACTTGTATGCAGTAATTGGTATCTGTTCCGGAATTTCCCGCATCTCCGTTGGTTCTGGGATTAGGAAACGCATCGGGCTCAGGCAAAACTTTCCCACGAGATTCTCAACGTTTCTTGGATTCCTTCCGGTCTTTTTGCACTGTGGCATCACGACGGTAAGAATTTGCATTTCATTCAAGATGCTTCTAGCTTTTTCGGAGATATCATATTGGAATTGGATGTTGTTCAGACGTTTTATTAAAGATATTTGGTTGTCTACGATATCTGTGAACAAAAACTGTCTGGGAATCTGCTTAGATACGTACAGTACTTTGTCGGCTTGTAGTTCCGGTAATTTGTAGGATCTCATATCGTTTTGCATTACAAAATCCGCAATTATATCGTTTATCTCTAAACGAAAATCTTCGTTTATTTCGTCGGGATACGTCCTCCTATATATCCCATTACTTAAGCCTTTCTGCCTCTCCATTTTCGGCATTCTAAAATAAATAATTCTTTGTAGTAGGCAAATCTATTCAAGCTTTTGAAACTTATATATTTGCTATGCCAGGAACTTTAGTTGAATTGTTTTTTTTCGAATATAATTTCGTCACGCACAATATACTAGATAATTGTATATAATCAATGACTAAATGTACAAAAATGAAACAAATGATTAAAAGTAGTCCACGGTTGTGTTTACAAAACAAATGAAATAAATCTTCCTATATGGATTCCATCAAATATTGGACTTTTTATAATTAATTAACACATTACACAGACTGGATCATTTAATTTAATGAAAACTTTTACCTTATTTCTTCGTTAATCTCGATGTTTCCTTAAACACTCTATGACCGAAAATGACCCTATATGACTTCTAAAGATGCAAAAAACAGTTTCGCTCAAATGATTTGAAATTGGAACAAAATAGCTTTTTGTGAACACATCGCGCAAAAAACAAGAAAGAATCGCCGGAAGTTAGTTTCGACTTCCGAACAGATTCTTATAGATTTAAATTTTAATGATTGATTTCGATATTATTATGTATGTACTTAGCGAAACTTACAATTTATTAGTTAGTTTTATCAAGAAAATAATAAATAACATTAATTTTAGCCAAATACTGCAAGAAACTTCACCAAACTTATTTCAATGCCTTTGAACTACTTGTTATTACATCGATATGTAAACTTGGTTGCATGCTGGATAAACGTCAAGTGCCATCAAATGGGTGTTTTGGTTGGCGTTAATTTACCTACCAAAACACTGTTTGAACAGTATTAAAGAAATGGATAATTCTCCGCCGATAAAACCACCTAGGGGTGTAAAACCTATCAAAGAAACTGTAAGTTACCATAAAACCTAATGAAGATGTTAATGGTTAAACCAATTTGTCTTTTAGAGTGGGCTACTTATGTCTGTAATAAGAACCTTATCGGCTAGTGAAACCAATGAACAGAGGGAAAGGGAGAAGGCTAAGCTAGAATTAGAGTATGAGCTCAGTGATAAGAAATTGGGTGAGCTAGTATCTAAACATGAATCTGATCTCACACAGGTAATACAAACATGAGTTGTGTAATAACAACCCACATACTATTATAATTTAGGTAATGCAAGTATTTGGTACACTTTCTCAATTGGTGAGTGACTCCAGGCAGCGGATTCACAAAGTCAAAACAAATTTGGAGGAGTGCAAGAAGTTACTGTACTGTAAAAAGGATGATTTGCAGAAGAAATGGATGGAAGGATTGGAGTACAAATATGTTTTACAATTCTTGGATGAGATGTAAGCAGACACCTATTTTATATATTGTGTTAATTATAACTTTTGTTTAAAGAGAAAAAATGAAAGAAGTGCCTAAGCAATTATCTGATCATATGATGAGAAAGCAATATTTACATGCCACTGAGTTGTTGGTGCAAGCAGTTACATTAGGGAAGGACAGATTGAGCAAGGTTGAAGCACTGAAGGAATTAACAGCAGAGTTGGAGCAGAAGAAAGAGCAGTTGCATATTAAACTGATGCAAGAATTGAAGCAACATATTTACTTGAAAACGTCGCAAAAGGTGTTGATGCTCAGGAGGCAAGGTTCGAGTCGTGAAGGACTATTCAATTCTCCTCTGCAAAGAAGTTTGGAGTTGAGAATATCCTCCAGACAAAAATCGAATATAAGAAAAAATCTCCTTGATTCCTCCAAGTAAAATCAAGCCAAATAATAATAGTATTAGCATTAATTTGATTGAATTCTAGGTTGAATACATCCTCCAACGATTTTGATGTGGTTGAAGATATTGATGTACTCGATCCAGAATCGGATTCTACGCACTTCATGGCAATACTCGTTAAAAGTTTGGCTTTATTAGAGAAAATTCCGTTTTCAGTTAATGTAAGATTAGATTTAAACTCAATATTAGAATATTATTAATTATACTTTTAAGGAGCTACAAACTGAAATGCAAAATGAGTTGATGCATATCGTACAAAAGACGACGCATCACATTTACGATTATAACAGTTTGCAGTCTGTTGATACTAAAACCAAATACTCTGCACTCGTCGAGTTGGTTCAAACGATTTTCGATCAATTCAAGCAAATTGGTCAAGCTCACATAATTGTTCTCGACCATTTCTCGAAAGCCTCCAAGTGCCATAACGTCGATGTTAATCTGTATAGCATTAAGAATTATTGGGCTCAGGTCCAGGGAGTTGTAAGTCATTAAAATACTTAATATAACATTGATTATATGAAGCGTATTTCAGTTGCAATTAATGCTTAATGACTACCTGGATATTCAGAACATAACCAGTGATCCTCAACTCAACGACAGTTTTACAAATCCCAACGATATTTCTAGCTACTTTTCGCGTAGAAAACCACAAAGGTAAACTATGTGATATGATTTCAATATTTCTTCTTTCTTTCGTTTGCTTTTAAAAAAATTACTTGTTTTTCAAATTTCTAAAATTTTATTTTAATTGTAATATTTTTAATTTTTTTTTCTTAATATATTTAGTATAATTTTACTAATAAGTTATTATATTATTATGTTTATAATATATTAAAAATCAGTATTTTTTCTAACAAATTAATTTCAATTCACCTGTTTTTCGAAATTTAAACAGTAATAATTTTGTTATATAATTTTAGCAAGAAGAAATCATTCTTCAAGTTTGATGGATCGACGAGTGCGTTAACGATGAACGAATTCAAAGATTCTCAGGTGAACAACAAGAAAAAGGACAAGATCTTGTTATGCCCGGCGGACCCGAACAACATTCTGCACATATTCGTTCCATTTATGTGCTTCATTGAAGACATCGAACAAATACTCGAGCTGCAACAAGGGTACCGGGAACGCTTCCATCGCATCAATTATGTAACATCAACTTTCTTTTTAGGGCGCAGTGTCCATTGCACAAATTCCTCTCCGATTACGTAACGGACAGGTTCGTAACGCGGCGGCACATTGAGACGCTGAGAAAAATAGAGGACACTGTTAGAATGGCCGATGCTTGGAAATCCACCGTCCTATTAGACATTACAACTGATTACAAGCCTCTTTTAGTGGTAGATAATTGAATTGTTTTATTATGTAAAATCGTATTGAACGTGACTCGCTTTGCAGAGTACTGTAACGGTGGAGAAGTTCATGAAGGAATGGAGAACGGTTTTGGAATCGCTACCTTTATACGGCGAAACTATCATCAAATATGTATGTAATGCTCTGCGCGACTACAGAGAGACCTGCAATGCGGCGTACGCGGGAATAGTGCAACCTCATTCTGAAGATAGAAGGATTTGCAGTGCCGCTTGGTTAAAAGATGAAGATATTAGTAGATTTTTAAAGTTTGATTTTCATTGTGTAACAAAAAGATTGCAAGTTTTGAAATTACTTCGTGTTTCAGGTCTTTACCTAATTGGCAAAATTTGAAGGCGCAGCAGGAGTATCAAGCGCGGAACGAGAGGAGGAAGACTGTGCGCCGTGAGCACACGATGGAAGAGGAGAGTCCTGAAGAGATTAGACAACGTAATAGAAGGGAAGCTGAGATTTTGGCTAGTAATTTAGGCGAAGGAGGAGTTGGCGCCGGTGAAATCCTCTCCGACATGAATCTTCTAAAGGAACTTGCGCAATTACAAGAGAGCATGGTGATTTATCTTATAGAATAGACGGGTATAATAATGTTACTTTTGATTTGGCAGGAATGGTTTTCAGTGCAGATGTTCCAATTTGCAAGCGATTTTCGCCAAGATCCGACTTTATCTCCAACAACAAACGCATTGGATGCGTCTGTCACCATATCCCCCAACACTTTGCAACAATTGACAAGCGTCGCGCAAGACTTCGATGAACTTGCCAACACTTGTCTCTTGCTCCTCCATTTGGAAGTTCGAGTCCAATGCTTCCATTATTTGTTAGCCCAAAGCGATTACAACAAAGAAACGCACGAGCCCGACCCAAAAGTACTCGAATTGAGTCGAGTATTAGCGAATGTAGACGAAGCAATGACTTCCAGTTTACATCCCAGAAAATGCAAAGTATTGAATTTAATATTTTTTATGATCACCGTATTTTTATATATTTTTTTGCAGTATATTTTTGAAGGTTTAGGACATTTAATAGCGAAAATTTTAATCAGTTCCTCTCAGTACATGAAGAACATTGATGAAGGCGGCATTCAGAGAATGTGCAGAAACGTATTCGCTTTGCAACAAACGTTAACTAATATTACAATGACCAGAGAAGTGGCTTTGGATCACGCCAGGCATTACTTCGAACTATTCTTTTTGACACCAGAAGTAAACAAATATGTCATATATAAAATAACAATTATTATATAACTTTTTTTTATAGGAAATTTTAAATGGTATCGTCGAGAATGGACCGGAATTCTCCGAATTGGAGTATATAAATGCATTCCAGCTTTTGAGCAGAAGCAGCAACGGTTCGAACCAGAATTCTGTAAATGCCTATCAGAAAAGGTTAACTAGCATTTTAGGTGAAGTAGGTGTAACAGTTTAATTTATTTTTATTATCAGAAGAAATATATATGTATATGCTTTATAACTCATCTTTCATATTAAGCAATTTTTCGTTCTCCTTGAACGGAAGCGTATTCCAAAAGTTAATCCTGTTTCCAAGATACTCTTTCTGTTCCATATGGATGTCATCCTTCGAGTTGATCCTCAAAAATTTGATCGGTTTGCTAACATCCTTACTGACGCTCTCCCAATTCACATCTAAGACTTTCGGTTTCCTAAAAAATATTATATTTTTATATAATTATATATTTTATATAATTTAATCATTACTTGGTGGCACAGAATTCGACCCACATATCTTGTAAAATAGTAGACATCTCCTTGTCTTCTTTATTAGAGGTAGTATCAATGTTTGTAGACAATATTAAGATCGTGTCGTCTCCATGAGCCGGACCTATAATATACAATTACTTTACCAAATCTACTATTACAACAAATACAAAGAAAATTTACCAAAGATGTTACGCGTTTTCAATCTTGGCTCCACCTTACTATGAAGAGCTTGATAACCATAGTAATAATAATAAGTTGATTCTTCGTTAGCTGCGGCGTGCAATCTAACAGACTTTTCGATATCAACCAAAAATATTCGATCCGAAATCATCTAGAAAAACATTACAATTTGGGAAAGTTAAACCCAAATATTTTGTTTATCTTACCTCAATGAATTTATTGAAATTATCACGACTGGGTTTTTCATTTCCGAAGTAAAACTGCTTGATTTTACTCGAAACATCTAATTTTTCAGTCGGATTGAGAGTGTAGTTATATTCAAGCAAATGCGGTATGATTTCATTCCACCTTGCATCAATTTCATCAAAATGATTATCTCCGTAGAACTCTACAACATTATATCTTAGTATATTCTTATAATCTAAGTATAACTAAAAAATAATTGAAGTTTCATTTTTACCAGCTGATGGATACAATCCTTCAGATTGAACGTTGCTGAAAATAGTTGGAACGCTCATAACGTTCTTCTCTTTCAGAGTTTTGTACGGATGTTGCGGTACGATTGGATTTTCAGACCACTTGTCAACGACTACACCGAAAGGTGTGAATGGATTATACAACCATGGCTAAAAGAAACTACTACATAATATGTAAAATAAAATAAATTTATTTTACCTGAAATTGTTTAACTGCAGCCACGATTTGCTTACCGGGCCTGAGTTTCATGCATTTCAACATCTCATAGGTATCATGCGTTGGACAACCCAAAATTGCTCCCATCTTTAACGCCTTTTCTCTAGAGTTTTCAGTCTGAGACCAAGGATTTAAAGCGGTTCCACTCTGGATGATGGCTTTGTGGAATAATTGCACATCTGTAATCAAATTATGGTATTTCCAAGTTGAATCATGAAACGAATGTTACCATTCTTAATTGGAGCCATGGTGTGGTAATGCACGCTGCTTCCACCAGCCGACATTCCTGCTAAAGTAACAGAGTCGGGATTACCTCCAAACCGTTGGATGTTTTCTTTGATCCATTTCAAAGCCAATTGTTGATCTTTCAAGCCATTGTTTCCAGGCACAACTCGATCTTCAGTGCTTAGGAAACCTTTAATGAAAAAGTTACAAAGAAATATTGAAGATTAATGAGCATAGCACCTAATGGTCCCAATCTATAATTGAAAGTCACGTAAATTACATCGTAGTCCATTAAGAACCTCTCTCCATAAGATCCTCCACTGTTGAACATGAAAGCGCCTCCATGAATGAAGACTATCACATTCTTTAGATGTTTAGGATTGGTGCTTTTGGTATAAACGTTAACGTGCAGACAATCTTCATCACCTAGAAGCAACATCTTGCATATCATAATTCCCTATTCTTCCTTAGATAGTTACCAATGACAAAGTCATCTCCTGGTTTAGTGTATTGATAATATTGCATACAAGTTGATAGAGTTTTAGCTTGCCAAGTACCTTTCCATGGCTTTATAGGCTTTGGCTCCTAAATAAATATTCAATGAATACACAATAAATATACAAAAAAAAATAACTAAGCACCTCAAACCTATACTTTCCAATTGGTTTGTAAGCGTAAGGAATACCTTCAAAAGCCGAATACTCCGTACCACTCAGAGTACTTTTGTAATAGCCCTCAACTGAACCATCCTTCAATGTAACTCGAGGAAGATCCTTTGCAAGGCAACTATCTAAAATGCATTAATATTAAAACAATAAACTAATTATCTAAATTACAAAGCGCACATAATACAAAGAGAACGTTTATTATCAACAACATTTTACTGACTGGGAATTGGCTGCGGTCAGAAATATTTAAACTACGTTATCTCCCCCTGTTAACGATAAACATTATATAATTAGATTAAAACAATATTGACTTTCATGATATCTACCAGTAAATATATAACAACAAAATTCCACTTGTAAACAATATGTGTTTATTACACATATATTTATTAACAATCCATTGTTAAAAGTAAATAAATTACTTATCAAGATTTTGGTCATGTAGAACACTCACGCTTTGAAAGTATCTACATTTAACTGAAAAGTAATAATTCACTAAAGATATATTTTATTTAAAGAAAATTATTATATTTTTTTTTATTAAGCACTATTTTGTTGTATTTATGATATTTATTTAGTGAATTATTTTTTTATATTTATTGACCAAACGTTACGACTTTATTCAAAATTTAGCTTTATTTTTAATATTTCTTTTTTATTAACAAAGTCGTAATAATACTTTTTCCTGTGTTTTACATGACTTAAATATATTTATGGATTTCATAAGTGCATCTCTGGATTGTTATAAGGTGACTTTATCTAAAATCTCATTTATATTCTCATTTCATGTATAAATAAGATAAAGGAGAATCTGTTGGTATACAAAAAAAAAACAGGAACAGTATGTGGAAGAATTTATATTGTTAAACATGATTTTATTCCATGAAAATTCTCTGGATTATTAAAAAAACAATAAATGCAGTAAAGTTGTAAAATATTTCAGTAAAAAAACAAATTGTTTAGGTCTTATGATAAATATTTTCAAACTATTTCGGAGTTTTTTCAATAATTGGTTATAGACTTATTTCCTTATAATAATGTCAATGTGAAAAATTATACTTTTTTTAATATATAAAAACTGTTTATTGTTATTCAATATTTATTTTTCAAATGATACAAATATAAAAGGTAAATTATATATTTATATCATGTATTTTTCATAATATCACACATGGCGATAAAAGATGATTATATTTAAAGCACAAGGAAATATATAATTCATTTCATTTAAAAAATGGTAATTTTTAAATGGTAATAGATATAAACAATTACATGATCATATAGTTAAGAAGACTTTATTACATGATACATTATCGTAAATATTTCATCATTTTAAAGTACTTTCTTATGAGAAATAAACTTCTTTCTCACAAACATAGAAAAAAAATTTGGTTACATAATTTGTTGCGTTTTTTAATTTTGTGATGAGCAAAGCCCAAAAGCTGTTGTTTTTTTCTCAGTATTGTAATAATGTTAAAATAAAACATAACAAGAGCAACTGCAAGAGCAAATATATGATTTTTTTTAATCTCGTTACATAATTTGTTTCGTCTTTAATTTTGTGCTTTTTGTTCCAATTAAAAAAAAAGAATTCCAAGAAATATAGGATTTTTTTCTTAAATCTTGATTTCATAATTTGTTTCGTCCTAAATCTTGTGCAGAGCAAAGCCAAGATGCTCTTATGTTTAAACATGTTTTTTTTTGTAGTTAGTAATTTAAAAATGTTAGAATACAAGAATAAAATAAAACAAGAGCAGATTCCAATTTAGTAAAAGGAATTCGATTTTATTATTGCATAAAAAATCATATAGTAAGGAATAGTAAAGAGTTGCTAATATTGTTTCTATTTAAAGCTGATGTGCTCAAGAATGTTATTTGAAAAAGCATTAAAAAAACATCTACAAGTAGATCTAATTATATGTTATAAATATATATCTGTATATATATATTAAATAAATAATTACACCTTAATCAATTTAGTAATTATCAATTTTTGACAAAAAAAAAAGTATTATATATTATAGTAACGTATACAATATGATGATTTTCACAAAATCACAAAAATAAAGAAAATCGTAAGTATATTTATATGTACGTAATGTTACTAGAAAGCAAACTCCGACCGAATAAACTGTGCATCTGTCTCACACAAATGAAAAACAAGGTAAGAGTCAACAAAATCTTATATAAAAATATTGTTCGGAAACAAATTGTTGTTAATGATGCAATATTTATCACATATAGAGCCGCAAGAAGAAAGTTTCTTTGTTTTTTTTTTCTTAATATATATATAATTTTTTTGTTATTGTGTTTTTTTCTCCTGTCTTTTTTTTTTGGTATTATATATATTTTAACTAAAACGTTTTCCTATGCACGGCTCTTTGGCCCTCCTCGTCGTACTCCTTCTTCGAAACCCACATCTTCTTAAACGTGTCGAGAGCTGCCAGAATTGAACCTCCGATCCATGTGGAATATAGCCTCTCCTGAGGCGCGGAAATCTGTGGAAACAAAACGTACATTAGCAAATTACGTCATCAATTGAAATATAATTTAATTACTTTTATTTGCACTTCCTTTGGCGAGATTTTTTTGATTTCACTTAAAAGCCTATCACCAAAACCCTGAAAAAATTGATTTATTAATTAGTATATTGAGAGTGATCAATGTATGAATATATGTACTTTAAACAATGTAGAACCTCCGGATAAAACGATGTTCTTGAACAGAACTTTACGCAAATCCAAATCGGATTTTTGAATAGAATATACGAGAACCTCATGCAAGCCTTCATATTCTTCTCCAATCAGGTCAGGCCTGAATAGCACCTCAGGAGCCCTGAACCTAGCAGGACCAATTTTTATGCTATTGCCATCTGGTAAAATGTAATCAATGTGTTCAGTGTCCAAAGTTTCTTCCTTTAATGGATTGTTAGCTAAGTAGCATGCCTTTTCTTTGATAGTGCGCACAGTTTCAAATTCAGCGGTGGTACGGAAATTGATTCCCTCCTTCCTCAACAACAATCTATAACAAAGTTATGAATAGTAAATGCTAACTTGATCACACATTTAGTGTAAAGTTACTTGAGGTATCTGGAAACATCCCTTCCTGCTACATCCACCCTCATGATGCTATGTGGCATAGCAAAGCCTTCATAGATGGGAACAGCATGTGTGACACCATCACCTGAGTCCAATACTACACCAGTAGTACGACCAGTTGAGTATAAACTAAGTACAGCTTGCATGGAAACAAAGAGTGCAGGCACATTAAAAGATTCAAATAGGATTTCAGCTGATTTCTCCCTGTTGGGTCTAGGGTTCAAAGGAGCTTCTGTCAGTAAAACAGGATGTTCCTCACTGAAGGTGGACAGTTGCTCTTTGCTGTAGATGTAACTCCAGATCTTCTCCATGTCATTCCAATCAGTAACAATGCCATGTTCCATTGGATACTTAATAGCTAACAAGCCTCTATGCTCTTCAGCTGTAGGCCCAATGAAAATGTCCCCTTCCAAACCACCTGCCATCACACGGGTGTGTTTGGGCCTGCCAATGCTAAAATAGGATTTTCATCATATAACTTCCTACAGTTAACAGTGTATTTTTCCTTACTAGTTCGGGAAACGGCATTTCGGTGTTTGATCTCCAGCAAAACCAGCTTTTATAACACCCGAGCCCTAAGGTTTCACGTTAACATTTTATATATTAGAAACACACAATAATACTCACATTATCTATCACAACTGGCTGATTAAACGCAACATCATAACTTTCCATTATTACTTAATTAATATTTGCAACGATGATTAATACACACCTAGTATGACGGCCAACGATCCAAACCTATTCTAACTGTCAAATTTGACATGGTGGAATAACTTTAATGTCCTAGTTACCAACTAACAACTTTAACATCAATCTTTAAGCAAATGTTGGTTAAAACTTTCGTTAGTTTATTTAAAAACATTACTCAATATCCTAAAATAACTATCTTTATATATGTAAACTGTTTATAATCCTATTGGAATTTAATGTTGGCACTATATTGGTTACTTGTAAACCAAAAAAGTAACTACAAAAGTTATCTGCATTTGATATTAAGTTAACCTCATTCAAAATAAATTGTTTACTGTACAGAGGCAATATTTTTTTTAACCAGTAGCATAAGAAGTGAGTGCTTATTGCATATAATATTTACTTACTAATCATATATTTATTGTAGAAGAATGTTAATGAAATCCCAAACAGAATACAAGTTGAAATCTGCACCAGAAGATGCTATTTCTTCTGTTAAATTTGGCCCAAACACAAGTCAGTATTTACTGGTAAGTTCTTGGGACAGCAGTGTTCGGCTCTATGATGTCAATGCCAACAACCTCAGACACAAATATATGCATGATGCACCAGTACTTGATTGCTGCTTTACTGTGAGTATAAGAATGTGTAAATCATTTTTTTCTTAAGATATTGTTAATTTAATCTTATTTTAGGACACTGCACATGCATATAGTGGGGGATTAGACAATACATTAAAAACATTTGATTTTAATGCTGCCACTGAGACAACAATAGGTTCACATGATAATGCAATCCGTTGTGTGGAATATTGTAATGAGGTGAATGGAATCTTAACTGGCAGCTGGGATCATCACTTGAAGTTGTGGGATCCCAGAACTCAGGGATGCAATGGTAACTACAATCAAGGAGATAAAGTATTCACAATGAGTGTCTGTGGAGAAAAACTTGTGGTTGGCACTGCGGGTAGGAAGATTTTGGTCTGGGACATTCGCAACATGTCATACATTCTGCAGAGGAGGGAATCTAATTTGAAATACCAAACTCGCGTGATTCGTTGTTTCCCCAATAAACAAGGGTTTGCGTTGAGTAGTATTGAAGGAAGAGTTGCTGTCGAGTATTTGGATTCGGTGCCGCAGGTACAGAAGAAGAAATATGCTTTCAAGTGTCACAGGATTAAAGTGGATGGCGTTGAAAAGATTTACCCCGTTAATGCTATAAGGTAATTTTTATTTATAATATCCAGATTTCATGTAATATTCATGGTTTTCTTTTTCGCAGCTTTCATCCGATTTACAGTACTTTTGCTACGGGAGGATCCGACGGTTACGTTAATATTTGGGACGGCTTCAACAAGAAGCGTCTTTGCCAGTTCCATCAATACCACACATCAATTACTTCTCTCAACTTTAGTCATAACGGTAAGAATCCAATGTATAATAATAAAGTTTATTTTTTTTAATAATCTTTTTTTATGGTGAAGGTTCAATTTTGGCTATTGCATGCTCTTACTTCTTGGAAGAGGAAAACCCACCGAATCCGCTACCAGAAGACACCATTTACATAAGGACAGTGACAGATCAAGAGACAAAACCGAAATATAGTTCGTCTTAATTATGTTTTTTTTATAAAGTATTTGCATATTTCTTTATTTTTATTCATCTCATCAATTCCTCCTTTTTAAACAATCAATACATATATATATTTAACAAAGAGATTTAAACAATTTTTATGTGGTATTTAATTATATTATATAGTCAATACTAAAAAAAAACGAAAATCATTTTATATTGGTCGATTTTATTTCAATGTTATAATATATATATAATTATTTTTTATTTTGATAAACACAAGAGTTAGGCACTTTTCTTTATTTATTAATGAATTTTAAACGTAAGTACAATTTAATGAATTACGCGTTTCGGAAAATTGTTTTCTTAAGTCTATATATGAGTTAAATTGTACTTAAATTTAAGTTCAAATCCATGCGTATGTTAATGTTTGATATTATTTTTTTTTTGTAATGAATATGATATGTTTAATTCTTTTCTTGTATACAGAACGAAGCGTTCTTCAATATTGTACATTGAACGATGTGAGCAATACGAAAATATACTTATTTGTATCAATGATCATTGAATATTAAGGCCTTCTTTTGCAATAGCAGTTCTTTTTTTTTGATATTTAGATCGGTTTAAGCGATTCAAAATGAACTATGGAGTCTTCTACTATTGTAAATATTAAGTCAGATCTGTGGATTGAATTGTATGAAAATGGTGTGGTTGAAAAGCTTGGTTTCATGACAATGTAGGATATTGAAGAAAGTTTCTTGAATGTGTATATGAAATTGACATGTAACTGATGAACATAATGCGCAAAGGCAAGCACAGATTGCTTTATGGACGGCCAAAATATACATGTTTGATCCCATGGTTTAAAGATTACGAAGCATTCAGTAGTAAAACGAACGAGAATATTAGAGCTACGGACGCGTAGGTCTGGTAGATTCCGTTGCAAGCATCTGCATCGTTGCAGCTTTGAACACATCCTTTAACGTATCTGAAATGGATAGAAGCCTCTCTTCATAGGAATCAATGTTTCAAGTTACTCTGGTATCAATTACCTGTCGTTGTAATAGAATCCACCGCAATGCGACATCCTTACTAATTCGGTATCAGTGGTTAAGGTACCGCTATCCAAGGCACATCCACGCACCGTTATTGGCTCCCCATTATCCTCTAAAAAAATGCAATTGCATTATAATTTACTTGTAATTAACGGAATAGTAGAGCACTCTTCATACCAAAGTTCCCGGTAATCTTGATGCAGGAGGTGGCGGGGAAGAGTCCGTTGCGTCCTTTCCGACCACCCATACAAGGCGATTCGAAAATATCCGTGGTGTAGTTGTTGTGGAAAGGATCATCGCAAGGCTTGTAATCGTTGTTTATCGAAATACACTTGAAGCAATCAATTGATTGAGCTGCCAGGGCAGAAGATTAATGAGAGAGATTACATGCTTTCATTTAAGATTACTGCAGCACTTACCAATTTTCGAAGTTAACAGCGCTATGTATATACAGAAGTACGTTAATGTGAGAGGCATGGCGTTGAGTATCGCCTAGAGCCGCGGCAGTTTGTTTATTGTTTTCTATAATTACGCGTTCGCATTTTATCCTTGGTATCAATTTAATACAAATATTTGGACATGTTCGGGACGTCCTGTTTATATGTTGGAGTGGTGGATCTTAGGCTGCCGTCTTCCGCTGCGCTCGGCCGCAAATTTTCCAGTGAGAAAGCAAATATCGACCCGATTCTCCTACGCATAGACCACTGTTCCGCGAGAGTTCCGACTTGCGGCGTCTGCAAATCAATAGTTTTACTCCCCTCAGGCAAAAGACCCATTGAATCATGAATAACCTATTTACATTTCGCCTAGCCAAAGTAAACGCGAAAACCTCTTAAATAATTATGGTTTACTGCATGCTATTCCGGTTGATTTATGCGTGTAATCAAACCATCAATCTAATAAACAGACGTCCATTTCATCCGAATTAAATGAACCAGAGTACTTTCTAATAGAGTTCTTAGAAAAAACTTTAATTCACCTTAGATTATTCCAAACATTTCATTATTGCGCATGAGATATGAAGGAGATATTTCAGTATTTAATACAATAAAAAATCATATTTAATAAGACAAATGTTTATTTCCGTAAATTCACGTAAATTTCAATAAAAAATGTGAACAATTTTAATATTTTTCATGTTTCTATCAAGTATTATCTGAAAATTAGAATATTAATTGCAATTAGTGCAAAGTGTTGTCATTTTTAAATAATTTATTTAACATAACTCTGATATCAGTAATTTACTATTGAACTTCACTGTGCTATTACAAATTATATGAATTAAATGAATAATTTGTACACAATATCGTGAATATGCGAAATGTTTGTATTGTATACTAAAATCAATAATTTTTATTAGAATCATATTAAATCAAAGATTCAAAAGTTTGTTTCGTTTGTTTCTGTTTCTTCCACTCCGAAGGAGTGGAAGTATGCAA